TGATGCATGAAGTTACTGTAAACGCCAGAAAAAAATGAAAACGCCGATGTAACAGAACGGATTCCTTCTCGGGTAGTCGGAATTAGTTGTAATTAATCTTTGAGTCAAATTTTCTTCCGTCAATTTTTAAATTATTAACGAAAATCAACTAAATATCTTTATCCAGAAATTATTCTAGTGAAAAATCTAACATTCACTCTAAAAAACAGTAAAAGTTTTCTTATATGAGGTTATGTAGTAAATTTGCTACTAAAAACACAGAAATTTACCGTTTCCTGTTTTGCTACATCATAAAATCCAGATTTTTACATCTTTTAATTATTCACAAATATCAACAAAATGTTTCAAAATTAATTCCAAAAATTATTTTACAAAGCAGTCAAAGTTTATTTACCACTAAAAAACAAAGAAAATTACAGTTTCCTGTAATTTTTCTAAATTTACTAGGTTAGGACTTAGTTATAACAAATTTTATCATTATTAGCAGAGGCCGCTGCACACGTTCTTTGGCAAAAAAAGAAATATAATTATTATTTCTTAAATTTTCTCTCCAGCTCATAACAATTCCTACCAACTCAAAACCAAAGCACCCTACCATGAAAAAAGCTCATACCTATGAGCATTCTCTGCGCATCTATCCGAATCGATAATAAATCACTTCTCCATTTTATTTCTTCTTGTTTTATCGCGTCGTTATCGCGCACGTAATAGTTTCAACTTCGCATACTCACCCATACGCTGACCAGCACCGGCGCGCAATGAATAACAGAATACACATAAACGTAAGCTCACTAAAGATGTGGAAGCACGACGAACAAATAATGAACTCGCTTCGAATCAGTGTTCCGCCAGTGTCGATGGCCACTCATTGCTTCAGACAGTCGAAACGCATTGAAAAATAACGCACGCCGAAAGAAATCGACGCCAATCATAACTTATGATTACTATTTTCAGAACCAATCTGCCGAAAGAGGTGATGGGCTTCCCGGATTTTCCAATCTCTAGCCAGACAAAATCGTATCTAACACAGGCGGAGATTTTGATGTTTTTGAAAGAATATGCGAATGAGTTTAATTTGAGAGATCACATCAAGGTAAAACTAATAGTTTAAACATAAAATCTCAATGTTTAAATTATAAATTTTATTTTATATAGTTTAACCATCATGTTGTTGATGTGGTTCCGTGCGATAACAATAGATGGCGCGTGCATGCAATTGACAAACCAACCAATCAGCGTTTAGAAGAAGTTTTCGACGCTGTAATGATATGCAACGGTCATTACAATGATCCAGTTTTTCCGGAACTTGAAGGAGACGAATTATTTTTGGGGCAAATCATGCACAGTCACCAATATCGTGAACCTAAAGGCTTCCAGGATAAACGTGTGCTTGTTGTTGGCGCTGGTCCCAGTGGTTTGGATCTTGCTTTGCAAATATCTCGTGTTGCACAAAACGTAAGTAAAAATTTTAAATTTCTAAATAATTTTGAACAAACTGTATGTATGTTCAAGTAGTTAAATCAAGATATGAATAAAAGATGCAAATGTATACGCAAGTTAAGTATCACTTTTCAAATGCTTAATTTCACGTCGGTGGCGTTAATTAAAACTAAGCGGCAGCAACTTAGCTTATTAGTTAATTAGATGTAGCATTCGCAAAAACGAACGGTGAAGTACACCACGGACATGATTGTGTATAGATTGACAATAGGAAAAAAGCGCAGCAAACGCCTCAAAGAAACGTGAATATTAAGTCGGAGTCGGCTGCTAATTAGTGGCATTCTCACAATATCAATTATACGAAATTGCATCGAGTGCGCTTTGCATCGTGCACGCAAAAGGAAAAACGAAGCGTGGCGGTGGCGCAAAAAGCGCGAATGTGCGCCCGAACTAATTGACCGATTGGAGATTGGACACCGTTGCGCGCGCGAGAACAAAATCCCGCGTCCGCCGCGAAAAAGAGGTGAGGCTGTAAATTCGAGATCAAGCCGAAGCCAAAAGTCGTCGGAAACAGTTAACATTTGTAACGATTGGCTGGTATTACTTGCCATTGGCTCTCATCACGTGTTGTTAGTACTTTACCAACACAACACACACGCTGTCATTGGCCAACATAACACTAAAGTTCAACCGCAGGCTGGGATTCGAACAAAATATTAGATTTCTAACGCTCGGCGAAATTTTGCGTTGTTGTATTGATTATGGACGTGGATGATGGCTTCGAAAAAGGCTAAGCGTAATTGTCTGCATTAATTGTTAGCTACACGCCTCGTTTTTGTGGATAAAACGTAATTAACGTCGGAGCCTGCGCGCACCGTGTCGTGCGATGTGTTCCCAAGCATTTTCGTAAATTATTAATTAACAGTTTCCCGTTTGTTTCTGAAAGCCGCGCAGACGCGCATTGCTCACCGGCCGTAAAACTTATTACTTACTCGCGGCGTGTGCATATAGTTTTAATGAAGATAAGTAGTCTTCGGCGAACTTGCGCATCTTTGAAGATACGAATACTATTCCAAGATAAATTATGTTTTTGCAACTATCGGAATTAGTTTCAAGTAAATCTATTAGTACAAATAATTATTTTCCATTGATGAAATTGCTGCTATTTCATTTTTTAAATCAATTTTACGTAATTTATATTCATTTATAAGTTAAAATAATATGTTTTAATTATACGTGATTTTGAATTTCAATTTTTATGAACTAAATAAAAAAATTTTAATATTTTTACGTAATTTGTTATATTAAAACAGCAAAAACATTAAAATTTGATTATAAAACGTTGCAAGAATTTGTTTTCACTCCTAGTTACACATTATTGAGTCTGGTAGTTATTCCAATGATTTCGATAACATGAAACGACTTGTAAGTAATGCGCGTGGAGAAACTTAGCAAACAAGCCAAGATTAAACAAGCGGAAAACAGCAGCTAATAATGTATCGTGTGCACTTGTGCGAAAGCGCAGAATAAAAGTGCAAGCACGTAAATAAATGAAAATAAATTTTAGGTGCAACAGTGAAACGAGTTTTCCTTAAAACTTAAAATCTTGAAGATCTTGAAGTACTTTCGCACACGCAAAACTAATTTTCTTCAGTTATTCGCGAGAAAATTTATTATTTCCATTAAAATTTTAACTTCAAGTAAAATTATTTAAGAAATTAAATTTTTTAACCGATAAACCAGTTAAAACCTGTTTGAATGAATTGATTTTTAGCCTAGAAATTACAACTACGTGCGAAAACTCATTTGTTTCGTAACATTAATTCACATAATATAAAATAATAGACCATCGATAAATTGGGTCTATCAATATCGTAAAATCAAAGCAATTATAAGCGCGGATACACGACGTGATCGCCTCGCTCGCCTCCAATTGCATTGCGGCATCGTATTTCTAATATTATTACTGACTGACACCACCAACAACCCAGCGGTGCTCACTAACAACAAGCGCGTTATTGATTATCTCGTTTTTAGATTTATTGGAAATTCTCGCGGGCCTTTAAATAAAGGTTGCAACGCAACGCAAAGAATTTTACAGAAAAAACAACATAAAATTCAATGCGAATCCAAATGCAATTCTATGACTGTGTTTACTATGACGATATTAAGACTTATTGATACAAGAGTAATAATTTTTAATTCAAGGCTTCAGAAAAGACTTGCAGTCTTGGCTCTTGACTCAATCTGCGATCACAACTAACGCAATTTCGTTTTCATGGCGTTTCGGTTTCATTGCGTCGCCTCGCCTTGCATTTAACATCAATTAAACGTGTAAGAATCGATCACGTTTCAATCGGTTTTTATTGCACCCATCGAACATAACTCTCCGACAAAGAATTTCATGCGGATGAGAAATTTTATTACAAAATGTTTTGTTTTTTAGGTCGTATTGAGTCATCATTGTAAAGAGCTGAAGACAAAGTACCCAGAAAACGTGGCGTTGAAGCCCGATGTGGAGCGTGTTGTGGGCGCGAACCGAATTCGGTTTATCGATGGCAGTGAAGATGACTTTGATGTGATATTCTATTGCACTGGTTATCGCTACAGCTTCCCGTTTTTGCACAAGGATTGTCGCATTGAGATCGTTGAGAATCACATCGCGCCGCTGTATAAGCACATGGTGAACATTGAAATGCCGACAATGTGTTTTATTGGGATTCCGTTCAATGTTTGCGCTTTTCAAATGTTTGACTTACAAGTAAGTGACTTTAACTTTTGCAAAAACATTTTATCTTATGATTTAAAAACTCCAGTTTAATTTTATATTAATTTCTGGTAATATTAAAATAAAACTTACTTTTTACAGGCACGATTCTTTGTCGCATCCCTAAACGGTGTTTTTACACTCCCTTCCAAAGAACTTATGTACGCCGATTTGTACGATGACTTGCAGCAAAGAGAAAACAAAGGTTACACAAAACGACAAGCACATTTAATGGGACCAGATCAATTCGATTACTATGAAGATTTAGCAAAACAAGCAAAAACCACACCGATTCCTCCAGTTATTGTAAAACTTCGTGATGAGAGTGTCAAACGACTCTACGATGATCTGATCAACTTCCGTGACGATAACTACAAAATTCTTAACGATAATACTTTTGTTAAAGTCAATTAACAGTTTTAACTATGTGAATTATTTCATACCAACGTATTTTTGTAGATAGATATTTATATTATGTTCTAGTTATAAGTTTGTATTATTCTTTAATAAAATTTTAGTATTGATAATCTGATTTTGTTGATACTGCGCCAAACCTTTTTAATCAATTTTATTGACGAGATGTACAAATAAAATGCACCAGCTGGTACATACTGCGCCATCTGTCGGAACGCGCTTGTACTTTCGCAAGACAAATTCAAATGCATGCTGGATTTAAATTAATCATTCCTATTACTGCATATTTTACTAATAGAAACATTATGTATATTTTGTAATATTATTTCTGGTACGACTATTACTTATCAATTTCTTAATAATATCTCAATGCGCATTAAAATCGAGTTCAGGCTCTACATAACCTGCTAACTAACCTCGCAGCAATCTTGTTTGAATGAAGAAAACACACCGAACCCACGTGTTTGTCGATTGTCGTTACATTTCTGTTTCCTCGTGTTTTCCAATCTCGAAATAAAGTTACAACTCACAATATGGAAGAATATAAACTCGGTGCACTGGGCGACCTGATTTCCGGAGGAAAATCACCTGGCAAGGGACTTGGAAACAAAAAGTCGCCTAACAAACGTGCAGCAGGCACCCCAAATGGCAAGGCTGGACCTATTGCCAATGCAACACCAAATGCTAAACGCACACCGATGAAACGCAAAAGCAACGTGGGTCAAAACCAAAGCCCCAAGAAAGTGAAACAACTTACTACAGAAGAGGATGATGAAGATGATGAAGCTGAGGAAAATCAAAATAATTCAATAGAATTTAATCCTGAAAATGATGCAGCAGAGGATTCTGATGAGGATGAAGATGTTGATGAAGAGGAAGATATGGATCAAGATGAAGCTGAATCAGATGAAAAAGATGGTGAGGACAACTTGAATGAAGAAGATGATGATGATGACAATGACTCTGATGAAGAAGAGGAAGATGATGATGATGAACCTGAAGAACAGTCAAGTAAACCCACAAATGAGAAAAAAGGAGATGCATCTAAGCTTAGAGAACTCTTCACAGATAGAACAATTTTTGTTGGCAATATTAAAATTGGTTTACAAAAGAAACTGGTTATAAAGCATTTCAAAAAGTATGGAGTTGTTGAATCTGTCAGATTCAGATCAGTTGCTGTTGAGAATCCCATGCTTGGCAAAAAACTATCCATTCAGAAGAACAAGTTACATGCTCAAAGGACCACCTGCAATGCATATGTTAGATTTGCAAATGTTGAAAGTGCTCAGAAAGCAGTTGAGGGAGAAAATGGGAAAGAATTTTATGGATTACACATGAGAGTTACAATGTCTTGTACAAAGTCTCTTTCCTATGATAACAAGAAAACCTTGTTTGTTGGAAACTTATCATTTAGTAAGTAAAACATTCTAAAATCTCAAATGCATATTAATTTATTTCTGTTTGATTTATAGAGGCCGAAGAAGAAGCCCTGTGGACTGCGTTTGCTTCATGCGGCGAAATTGAATCAGTGCGCATCGTTCGTGATAAACGCACGAATGTATCCAGGGGTTTCGGCTACGTTAACTTCAAATCACCCGACTCCGTTCAACTAGCTATGGAAATGGGAGATGTAGTTATATTCAATCGTACTGCGCGTTTGTCCACCAGCGAGTTTGTTCAAAAAGTAAAAACTCTCGACCCGGCTAATGATTGCTGCGTATTCATCGCTGGTTTCAGCGCAGGTACACCAAAAGGCGCCGTTATATCCGCGTTCCAAAAAATTGGGCCTGTCGCAAAAGTACGTTTAGTCAAAGATAAGTTCACACACAAAAACACTGGCTGCGGTTTTGTTACATTCAAAAACACTGAAGCGGCGCAGAGCGCGTTACAGAAAGAAATAACGATCAACAACCAGCTAGTACAAGTACAAGTTCCGAGGACTACATTAAAAGGCGCGAGGAAAGCTAGAACTGAATATGATGCGAGTCCGAAAAAGTTCCCCGCGTATAAGGGAATGCTACATTTACGTGGGCCGAAACCGAAAGGTAGAGTTGGTAAACCGTTGAAAAAGAACGAGAAGCGAAAGAGTACTGGTGGATCTCCACCGAAATCCTTCCAAGGATCGCAGGGGAAGACCAAGGGAGAAAATGATAAAGGAAAAGTCAATCGCGGACAGTTGATGAAGAAAAAGATGGCGAAAAAAGTAGCACCTAGGGCGTAATGCATTTTTTGTGTTATAATATGTTTCTTTTAACTATTTTGTTCCACAACATACATTTAAACTGACTTATATAATTATACCTAATCGCTGAAATCATATTTCCTTCGAATTTGTTTTTATTTGTCTAACTAATATCTGATAAGGAAAGAAAAATTATTGGTTAGTGATATGGTGAAACATGTTCAGTCTAGTATTAGATTGCAACATGAATGGGCGTCATGAGTGCCATATCAGAGGTTTGTCTAAAGAGGATTTATTGGCAGTTATACGAACAGTATGTTTCTTTGTGGCGTATTTCACTATACACTTTTATAATAACTATTTTTAGAGCAAATTCAATGAGATAGCGGATGTAATTGAGACATTCAATATTTGTGGTAGTGATTTACTCGTGAGTATTCAGATTTTTGGCTTGTTTATGAAAATATGAACAAATCATGGATTAAAATGTTGTAGGATATGAAAGAGTATGATGCTTTGCGCAAAGTTGGACACGCAAATCGCAAACTGTTTGTAGAACTTTTGAATTGTGTCCAACAAACTCCCCAAATTTTGTTTCCTCTTAAACCAACATTGAAACCAAGAGTATCTTTTATTTCGAGACAAGTTTCATCGCCGAAAGAGACTAGTAAAGTAATTACCAATGAATTGAATGGAATGTTTGCACAATTAAACACTTCTGACGTGTTTAAATCTGGCAAAAATGTTAAAGAAGATCCATCCTTTATGACGAAACAAATTTTATCGCCTACAGAAACTTCTAAAGGAATGACCAACCCATTGAATGGAATGTCGGCACAATTAAGTAGCCCTGAAGTACTTAAACCTGTTACAAAGATTGAAGAAGAACAAAGAACACCTGAACATAATGCCAAACCTATAAAAATTACAGAAACTGAGATTAAAGATGTTAGATTACTACCAGAAGTTGATTTAGATCAAATAAAAAATTCCGTAATGAAGATGTTGCCCAATATACTCAGTAGAAATAAAAGTTTTAAAAAGCCGCCACCACCTACTTCTCCAAAACCAACGAAGCAAAGAAATAATAATAAACTTCAAGAAACTACTGCAGCAGTTGTTGAAACAGTAGATTCAAAGAAAGAACCAACAGGAACACATCAAAATACTAATGGTTTTAAATTTGCTTTCTCTCAAAAGGAATTGATTGAATTAGATTCTAATCCAAAAACACTTTCGTTCGATGATCATAATTCGGATCAATTTTACAAAATACCAAAGTCGTTTTCACCAAGAATTGAGCGAAAATTAGTCAACAATAACATCTCGGAAAAAGACGACGATAATATTCCCAAAACACTTTGGTTCGATGGAGATAATTCGGATCAATTTTACAAAATACCAAAATCTTTTCCACCAAAAATGGAACGAGAATTAATCAACAATAATATCCTGGCGAAAAATGACGATATTGTTCCAGAAACACTTTCGTCCGATGATCATAATTCGGAGCTATTTTACAAAATACCAAAGTCTTTTCCGGCGAAAATGGAACGAGAATCAAACATGAATAATATCCCGGGAAAAAGCGACGATAACGTTTCAAGAACACTTTCGTCTGAGGAAGATAATTCGGGACAATTTTACAAAATACCAAAATCATTTCCACCAAAAATGGTACAAGAATTAATTAACAATAATATTAGGCGGAAAAACGATGATATCGTTGCACTTTCGTCCGATGATCACGATTCGGAGCAATTTTACAAAATACCAAAGTCGTTTCCACCAAAAGTCGAACAAGAAGCAATCTACAATGATATCCCGGATATAAACGCCAACAAAGTTAACGAGAATATATACGAGAATACTCGTCTACCACGTTCAGACGATGAACCTCCAGAATTACCGGAGCGTCCAGCCAATCTGATATTTACAGCTAAAAAAAAACAAATCAAACAAAGACAGCAATCACCGGATGACGAATCAAACAATCACGATCACTTAGACAACGAACACTACAGGAGACTTCCAAAACTTTCCAGTCAGCCGCATATGCCACTACCTCCTTCACCAGCCGAGTCTCTGCTAGTGCCTCGAGACCCACTTAGAAGTAACCAATTTTTCAGAGATTGCACTCGTTCGGAAGCCGTGCAACTACTAGAAACGAAAAGAGTAGGCACGTTTCTCTTGCGACCCAGCTCAAGACCACAGTTTTGGGGTGTACTGGTGCTTAACGGAGAGTTAGGCGTGCAAAATATTCCACTTTGCTATAATAATTACACAAACGAGTATTATTTTGCTTCAAAATCCGGGGATCTACAAGCTACACGTTTTAATAGTTTTGATTCATTGCTTAATTATTATAAAGATCATGCTATTAATGGCGAATTGTTGCTAGGGTCAGAGGTCAATATATTAAGTTAATACAATAAAACTGGCGATAAAAAGTCATTTACACCAGGTGAACGAAATTCCATGAAAATTTACTATTTGCTTATCTCACTTTGCTCATATTTGTACTGATATAACTATGCATCATGTGAAACACAACATGGGCGTGTATCAGACATACGTGCAGTTTAAACAAAATGGCAATCAGGTACTCGTATAAATCGCAGCTTTCTGCAATGACATCGGCAGATTTAGTCAATCAAATCAAAGGAACAGAGTTTTCTGATGTTTGTGATGTTATAGAATTGTTCGAACTCTCCGGTAGCGATATAAAGGCAAGTACACATTCACAATGTGTATAATCATACATTACTGATCGTACTTCTTTACTTTATGATAGCTGTTATCTGAATTAGACTTACAACTGAAAATTGGACCGCAATTAGACAATTTAAAACTTCAGAAGTTCCGGGCGTTTGTTCACGTCGTGAAAACACAGCCACATAAATTAATGTATTATAAAGAATTAAGTACATGTGCTAACAAAATGGCTGAATATTCTTCTGATGTACAATTTAAAGTGCCACCATCACCTGATTATGAAGTACCACCGCAGATTAGTTATACTAACCCATCTTCGGCCAGAACACCTTCAGTTTATTGTCAACTGCCGAAAGTTGACACCAACGCTCCATTTTTACCAGAAGAAGTTTGTTATTTGGAACCAATTAAGGCGAAAATACTTGGTAGCACTATTATTGAATCGCATCGGTTCTATAGATGTGTGGATCGGAAGCAAGGAAAAGAATTGTTGAATAACACACCAACTGGAACTTATCTTCTGAGACCTAGTGGGGAGTCGAGTTTTTTGGCTGTCCTGATGATACACGGTAAATTTAAGACGCAGAACATTCCGATTTGGTTTAATAAGAGTACTGAGCAGTTTTACCTGAATACATCGGAAGATTATGGCTCGTTGAAGACGTTTCGCACTGTGGATGAGTTGTTACAGTATTATACAGTTAATGATATTAATGATGATAAATTGTTGAGGAATAATGAAGATAGTTTACCTCCTGTACAAGTTAAATAAATGTTGTAATATAAGGAAAAATTGCGATGGAACCATGTCTTTAACTAGTGAAAGTTAACAATGTTTTTTACATTTAAAAAGAATAAATCTCTGTATAAAGGTTGCACTAAAAGAAATACTAAATATAGCTGCGTTATAAAGAGTAAATTCATGTTAGTTCATTAATTAAGTTTGCACTGCGATTGCTTTGCTTCTATGACTTTTGCTGAATTAAGATATAATTTCAAATATATTTGGTGCCAAACGAAACGTTTTCGGTTGGCATCACTGATGCTAACCTAACCAAACAAACCCTTTTTAAAACTAACCACGTGCTTGGCTGTGGTAACCGCATTTTGAAAACGTGCTCTGTTCTCTTCGTGCGCTCGCCCTGACGAACACGTATTTTTGTATTGTTTTCTTTCGTAAACGTGTTTCAATATAAACGAAAATGACCAAACTAAAAGTAAAAACGCCCAGCAAAGCTACCCCAAAGAAAAATAATAAAGAAGTAGCAAAATCACCGGCGATTACTCCAAGTAAACTCACACAGAAATCGCCTAAAAAGCAGAAGACTCCAGAGTCCCGCAAACGCGCCTCGAAAGCCGCAGAATTGGTTGAAGATGTGAGTATCCTCAAGAAGAAGGCAAAGAAGGAAAAGAATGGATGGAAAAAGCAACCAGAACCAGAAAAAGAAAGCGATTCTGAAGAAGATGCCGCATCTGTAAATGATGTTAAGGAAGATATTGACTCTGATGAAGAATCTGACATTGAAATGACTAATGCAAATGGTGGACTTAATGAAGATGCAGAAAATTCTGATGTAGAAGAGGACTCTGAGGGTGAAGATGAAGAGGATTCGGAAGCTGAGAATGAAGAAGCGAATGGAGAAGAAGCAAGTGATGAAGAAGAAGAATATGACACATCTACAATTTCTGTTAAACCTATCAGAAGCATGACATCTCCAGAAATCATAAAAGAATATTTTGCTAAATGTGGCCAAATTACAAACTGTCAATTAATAGTGAACCCTAACACTAAAAAACAGAAAGCATTGATTACATTTCAAGATGTTGATGAAGCCAAACTTGCTGTGGCTACTTTAAGTGGATCATTATTTCAGCATTACAAAATCAAAGTTCAACTTGTCCAAACATCTTGTGGCTTTGCTGAAGATGGCTCAATTCTCATCAAAAATTTGCCTCAAGATACTGGTATTCAGTCATCAGAAGTTCTTGACTATGCAAAGGATGCTCTGACTAAGAGTTTTGGCCCAGTTAAAGATTTATTGCTTTCATCAGATATGCTTCAGGCTACTGTTCAGTTTGAGGACAAAGCAGCAGCCACTGCTGCTTTAGCAGCTGGTAGTTTCCAGTTGCTTGGTTGTAAGGTGGATATTGTTCCTTATGGAGATGCTGCTACTCCTACTGTGTCCCCTGACATTAGAGTTGTTATCTCTGGAAAAGTTGATGGTAAGTGTAAGATAATTACATAGATTATTGTAAATTTTTAGTTAATTAATACTTAATTTTTTTTAAATATTTTTGTAATTTCAGACGTTACTGAAGAAGACATATTTAAAGCAATTTCTAAAGTTTGTGATGTTACACCGGAAACCGTCGGTCAGGCTTCAAAAACCCATATTACTATTGGTGTTGAATCTGAAGAAAATGTTGTACATTTGCTGGGATTGAAAACCCTGAAAGTAAAGAAGATTCATTTTGATATCCTGCCCGACTTGGGTAGCAAACATTTCTATAATCCTGTCACCAAAGTGTACGGCAGACATCCAGCGGGTGTTTTCGTAGAGAATCTTAAAGTGAACATGGGTCATTGGGATAAATACAATGCGTTAAGCGTTTTCGGGCCCGTTCAACACCTCAACTCAATTAATAACAATCACAGCGCAATTGCTATCTATGAAAAGAAGAGCGATGCTCAAAAAATTCTGCTTGCTGAAGAGATTTACATTAAACACTTTCCTGTGTCTGTCAAGGCTGTTGATGGCGTATATAAGCCAGTTGAGAAACCTAAGTATGAAGTTGGGAATACTGTTTACATAACGGATAATGTTGGTAAGCATATAAAGATTAACTTTGTACATTATGGAAATAATAATTAAAATATTTTTTTCTTTGTTTAGATCCTACGAACGTTACGAAAGTGATGAAACAGATAAACATAATGAAGTTGCCCATTATTCGAATTGTTGAAAGTGACAATTTCTTCAAACCGGCGTTCTTTGTTGAATTTGAAAATGCAGATGACGCCCAAAAATTCGTGGACGCGACAATAGAAATCGACGGAAAAGCAGTGCATACTGAATTTTACGATCCGGCCAAACACGACAAAAGTACCGTACCTGAGGGTATAGTTTTGGTGCAGAACCTGAAGTTATTCACAGAGGAAGTTGATTTGTGGAAGGCTTTCCACGACTTTGGCAAAATCGCTAATGTTAAGATTCTAATTAATGGAAAACAACAATTGAGATGCGCATTCGTTGAATTTAAGGAGGCCGCCGGCTGTAAGAAAGCTGTAGAAGCTAAAGAAATGGACGTCAAAGGCTCAATTGTTACGATTTCTGTGCCCACAACTACTGAGATCGATGAACTCGTAAGTTTCATTGAAATTTTGATCATTTATACGTAAAGTTAATCTTTTTTTAATTAGCGCAAGAAGATGAGATTGAATAGCCACAAATTGTATAACTACGTTCGGTACAACCGTCTTGATGCACCGGGACGAGGAGGTTTTAAACCATTCCGAGGAAGTTTCGCAACCAGACGGGGAAGTTTTTCACCAAGGCGAGGAGGTTTTATGCCAAGCCGAGGAGGGTTTAAACCGTCGCGAGGAGGAAGAGGTTTTGCACCAATCCGAGGGGGAGGAAGAATGGCTACACCAACACGAGGAGGAGGAAGAATGGCTACACCAACACGAGGAGGAGGAAGAGGTTTTGGATCAGCGCGGGGAGGCAGATATATGCATTGAGAATAATTTTAATTACTTCTATACTTCTCTATACATCAAAGTTACTTGTAATATTTGTTGTTCCAAGTATTACTTTCATTAATTGCTATGAATGCCTTGTTAATGTTATGGAGGTGTTTATAATAATCAACAAAAAAGTGTGTTAACTGAACTCACATCTGAGTTATGAATGAATGCACAAGTTATGGTAATTGCCTACAGTTATGTTAGTTATGGTACTGTAGCTATCAATGAAACGCGAATATATATCCTACATGCAGCTAATTGTTTACACATGATTTTTTAAAATTTAAACCTGTTTAATCTTCAAAAATAAAGATTTAATACTGCTCTCCAAATGATTGCCACATGCTTATATGTATTGTGTAGATTTATGATTCAATAGCAATGAAAAAGAATTGCTATGTATGAACATCATGTATCTCCTTGATACCACAGTACAATAATATGAATAACATTGATTATAGGTTGAAGTTATGAAGAAATGAATGTCAGTTAGTAAATCATTAGATTATCTCAATGTTCAAATATTTTAAGGTTATCAGAAACGTTCTGTAAATTTTCTGTTTCAATCAACAACAACAACAAGGTAATTATTTCTACTATACTAAGATAAATTCAAAACATAGATTTCAATCTTGCAGACAGTTCTTATCCGGCCACTCACAATGCATTTGTCTCGCATCACACAGTGCTCAATTCGTTTAAAACCGAAACCTTTCTACAAATTTTACTCCTCTACAACAACAGAGTCTCCCCTAGTGCATGATCAGCCAAAGAACAATCTAGAACATTTACAAAACCGTTCGCTGATTAAATTAGATGGCCCTGATGCATCTGGATTATTACAAGGGTTGATAACAAATGATATCTACCACTTGCCCCAAGAAACTGGCAAACTTAGCAGTATCTATGCCATGTTTCTCAATTCAAAAGGAAGAATCATATGTGATTCCTTAATATACTCAATAGGTGATAAAGACTCATATATTGTGGAAGCAGATTCACAAATAATTGACAAACTAATGAAACATTTAAAGATGTACAAACTTAAAAAGAAGGTTGATATTGATTTATTAGATTCATACAAAGTTTTTGCACTGTATGACCCCAAAGATGACAAAGGACCAGTACCAAAGCTTCTAGAATGTTCTAGTGAATCTTCAAGTAGTGCAACTAATGGCACAGTTTTAAAAGACAAATACTTATTTACTGATCCAAGGGTGCCAGCACTTGGTTGTAGACTTCTCACAAAAAATATTGAAACTATTCCTCCAGAATTATGTGTGAGTAATGTGAATCCATCTGCTGGTGCGAATTTTCGATGGCTTCGATACAATCTAGGTGTTGGTGAAGGAATAATCGATATACCGCCACAAATTTGCTTTCCTCTAGAACACAATTGTGATTATATGAATGGCTTGAATTTACACAAAGGATGTTATTTGGGTCAAGAACTAACTGCAAGAACATATCACACCGGCAAAATTCGAAAAAGACTAATGCCTTTGTTTTTAAAGAAAGAATTAAACCAACCACCATCGGATTTAAGTTTGTTTGATGATAAAAAACAAAGTTTAGGAAAATTACGAGGTGTGCAGTTTGATGCAGCCTTGGCATTACTCCGAATGCATCTGGTTGTCGATATTGAGATATCTGTGGGCGAGACTCATGCAACTACAAAAATTCCGCATTGGTGGCCTGGATTCAAGACTGCTAAGCTGAAAGATGAAATTGCTGATAAATCATGTTGAAATCAACATTATAATAGAATATTGTTTCTCTCACAGGGGATGATTTCACTAGAGAATGATCAAACTCCCCAAAAGGAAGAAACAGATAAAATAGTAGAGAACGCGACTGAACCTGAAGAAAATACTGAAGTGATTGAAGAAAAGAAATACTTTACATGCTCCAGTTGTAATCTACGCGAGGAATACGAGTATTTTGGTCGAGAACCACCATACACAAAGAGGTACAAGTTAAATGAAGATTGCTATGTGATTGAAGATCCTTTTCAACCGCCAAGGCAAGGAGAATTCATCATTTTGGGTGCTCATTGTCAGGATTGCAGTAAACCAATTTGCAGAGATTCAATTTGTAGTTTTTATTATGATGGAACCTACTGTATTTCTTGTGCACGGTGTAAAAAGTTTAGTTTTCCAAGTGTTATTCAAGAAAAATTGAATAAAGTGGTTTTATAAATGAATAGTATTTGTTTTCTTAACAATCTGAACCCCAAATTAACATTTTAAACTATTTTGTATCATATATTCCCGAGAGTTCTAGAAATATTCCTCTGGGTATAAAGGGAGCGTAAGGTTACTGCTTCTAGCGCCTTCTAGAACCGAATTTTCTAGAATATTGTCAATTTATTTATAATTAGGCATATTTTTGATTAAATTCCGTTATATTTTATTAGAAGATTAATTTTTATTCAATTTCTTCATATTTTTCTTTAAATTTAGAAAGTTTTTATTAATTTAACATGAATTTTATACTGAATCGACTTTTATTTATCAGTTTTTCGTTATATCTTCGAAAATTGTTTGTATTTTGTTTGAAAAACAACGCCTACTAATCATAAATATTCAATGTTTACTAGATTTGTCTCGAAAACTTCAATATTAGCTCAATTAATTGAAATTCGCGAAGGTTTCCAACGCAGTTTCCTGACATTTCCCGACCTTTCTAGATGCATGCGTGCTCTGTTTCACAAGTAAAATCATAGCGAGGCACAACAAGGACAGCGCGCTCGAAAACACGAGAATAACCGAGAATACAATCGAGAACGTTCGAGAAAACTTTGTCGGGAATATATAAGCGGACGCTCCGAGCGGCAATTCAGTTCAATTCAAACAAGCGACAAGTAAACAACTAAACAGAACAGATCAAGTTCTCTGCGACCTAAAGCGATCAGAAATTGTTTTCATCGGCTAACAATAAATTATCAGTTAAGATCAAATCAAGTAAAGTGAAAAAAGTGAATACAATGTCTTCATCGAAAGCAATTGGCATCGACCTGGGTACCACCTACTCCTGCGTTGGAGTGTGGCAACAGGGAAAAGTTGAGATCATCGCCAACGACCAAGGCAACAGAACCACCCCAAGTTATGTTGCCTTCAGCGACACCGAGCGACTCATTGGCGATGCTGCCAAGAATCAAGTGGCGATGAATCCAAGCAACACCATCTTCGACGCGAAACGACTGATTGGGCGCAAATACGATGATCCCAAAATCGCCGCCGACATCAAGCACTGGCCCTTCAAAGTGGTAAACGACAATGGCAAACCAAAGATTCAAGTGGAATTCAAAGGTGAGACCAAGAAATTCCCACCAGAGGAGATTTCTTCGATGGTTTTGACGAAAATGAAGGAAACCGCTGAGGCATACCTTGGACATCCGGTGAAGAACGCAGTTATTACCGTTCCCGCATATTTCAACGATTCTCAAAGGCAAGCTACCAAAGATGCGGGTGTTATTGCCGGTATAAATGTTTTGAGAATCATCAATGAACCAACCGCAGCGGCTTTGGCTTACGGTTTGGACAAAAATTTGAAAGGGGAACGAAACGTTTTGATTTTCGATCTTGGTGGAGGTACCTTTGATGTATCCATCTTGACCATTGATGAAGGATCCCTCTTTGAAGTCAAATCAACCGCTGGTGATACCCATCTAGGCGGTGAAGATTTCGACAACCGTTTGGTTGATCATTTTGCTGACGAATTTAAGAGAAAATACAAAAAGGATCTGAAAACAAATCCCAGGGCTTTGAGACGTCTTCGCACAGCTGCCGAACGCGCAAAGAGAACCCTATCGTCTTCTACTGAAGCTACACTTGAGATTGATGCCCTGTTTGAAGGAGTTGACTTCTATACGAAGATAAGCCGCGCTAGATTCGAAGAATTATGTTCGGATCTCTTCAGAGGAACACTGCAACCAGTGCAGAAAGCGTTGGCAGATGCCAAGATGGACAAGGGGCAGATCCATGACGTGGTACTGGTTGGCGGTTCAACCAGAATCCCGAAAGTTCAAAGTTTGCTGCAGAACTTCTTCTGTGGTAAATCTTTGAATCTTTCCATCAATCCAGATGAGGCAGTTGCATATGGAGCCGCAGTCCAAGCAGCCGTTTTGAGTGGTGACACTGATTCCAAGATCCAAGATGTCCTCCTTGTTGATGTTACTCCACTTTCCATGGGAATTGAAACAGCCGGTGGGGTATTATCGAAGATCATCGAGAGAAACGCACGCATTCCATGCAAACAATCGCAGATGTTTACCACCTACGCAGATAATCAACCAGCTGTTACCATTCAAGTCTACGAAGGAGAACGTGCGATGACCAAAGATAATAACTTATTGGGGACATTTGATCTCACTGGAATTCCTCCAGCTCCACGTGGTGTGCCCCAAATTGAAGTTACATTCGATCTAGACGCGAATGGAATTTTGAATGTTTCTGCTAAGGATACCAGCTCGGGAAAACAGAAAAATATTACCATCAAGAATGACAAGGGTAGACTATCCCAGCAGGATATTGAGAGGATGCTGGCTGATGCCGAGCGGTACAAATCAGAGGATGAGAAACAGAAGAACCGTGTTGCGGCTCGTAATCAATTAGAAGGTTACATTTTCCAAGTAAAGCAAGCAGTAGAAGATGCCGGGGATAAACTCAGTGAGGATGATAAAGCTAAAGTTAAGACTGAATGCGACAATGCCCTGAAATGGTTGGATACTAACACTCTGGCTGAGCAAGATGAGTTTACTGAGAAGCAGAAGGAGCTAACGAAGATCTGCAGCCCAATCATGAGCAAGTTGTATCAACAAGGAGCTCCCGAAGGTGCTGGACGTCAGGGTGGCACATGCGGACAACAAAGCGGCGGATTTGGAAAGGGAGGTGGACCTACCATTGAAGAAGTAGACTAATTAATCAAGTCTTGAAATATTTATGCGTAATATATGTGATTGGTAAAACTTAAATTATTCCTGTATTATTAGTTCTATAATAAAATAAAGCATTTAAAATTTATTCTGATGTTTTTATTTCGATTAATTGTTCCCATTCAAATTAAGCGGTGCTATATTGATACTGTTGGGACCATCATCATGCAGTGTCAATCCCAGTTCATTCAGAACAGCTGAATCTAGAGCTCCTTGCTTATTTAAAGAAGCAATGATTTTTTGATTCTCAATGTTGTTCTCTAAGATGTTGCGGATTGCGAATACCACCCATTGAATTATAACTGGAAAGAAATTTTGATTCTTTCATACATTGTGACTTGGTGCGGAAACATCCGAAGAGACAAACAAAGATAGGTTCCTCTCTCCTTTCTCGTTTGGACTTCGGTGCTCACCTTATATGTGCGTACATCCATACATGTTAATAATTAAATATAAGTTACTTACATGGATTTCTCCCGTCTATATTACAACAATCCAGAAGTAATGGAATGACATCTAATTCTCGTATCTAAAATAAAAATATTATTACTCCATTCTTATTGTGTTTATTATATCAATTACTCACTTCATCTTGATTACATCTCATTTTCCACGCCATATTTCCCAGTATTCTTATCATATTAACTCGAAAACCAAAAGCTGGATGCTCTTTGATGTCTCCTCCCATATCCTCAACCTTAGACAACTTCCCAATCGGTGCAAAATGATTATTTCCTTCTTTTCCAGCGTCATGTATAGACTTCAATAAAAATGCGCAGTTAATCAGTAAGCTACGGTCGTATTGAATAAATCTCAGGCACTGTTCATCTGAACTTAGAGAAGCAATCACATCAGATAAAAGGGAAACCTCAAATGGTTCAATCTTGTTAATGTAATCAGCAACTGTCTTCAGTATACAATCAGATGTTTTCTTGAAATGTGATGTTAGTAATTCAACATTCTTTTTTGTCCAAGAAATTGGTTCCTTTTTATGTTGTAACTCTTTTAATTGTTGTAAAATTAATATTCTATATTGGACATCCTTGATATCATCATAGTACTTGAACACTGTACCATTTTTGATGAATAAATCCAATAAAAAGTGAGCAAATTCATTATTCTCTTCTTGAAGTAAAACTATTAAAAAATCTAAATCAACGGTGAGCTCATCATTAGCCAAAAATATATTGTAAGCTAGAGCATACATTTTATCAGATATATCCTTATTTTCAATATACACTTTAAAATCTAATGAAGTCCATATTATCTTTGCATTGTCCTTGTTGCCAATACAAATATTAATTAGGAATGTAAGCAAAACATTTTTTAAAGCAACTGGGTATTTATCATTGCTTAAAATATCTTGATAAATAACTATGAGTTGTGTTTTTGAAGAATTGGCAGCCAATATTTGGTATTTTATGTCTATGTTTTTGATTGCACAGTTTCTTAAACATCTGATAGCTTCTTTAAGTAATAAATCATTTGATGTGCTGTGAGCCTTCAGAATTATATCATTCAATAACTCTACATCCTCAATAGTAGCATTTAAACTAAAAAAGTTCTGTTGATAATTTTTCATCTACAAAAATGTATATTACTTACGATTGAGGCTCATTGTTAAGAATTTCCAAGATATAAGACTCTTTTAAACTAGCTAAGAGTTTGCCTTTATCATTATCAAGTTGAATTTGTTTTATTTTATTTGAATCCATGGTTTCCACCATTTCCACTGCTAAGCATAAATAAAATCAAAATATTTGCTTCTGGATGGTGAGTTTATTGGTGTGTGCATTATAGGTTAAATTTGAAATTATTCAAGTTGTTTCAAGGTTTGTGACCAGAGTTTTTAAGTAAGTAAAATAAAAGAGAGCATTTATTATTTATGAATTCTATTTATTTTCTGTCAGATTTTAATTTTGTGCGCACAAAATCGAATTAACTAAACTACATTTTCCTA